ACATTTTCTAATGGTGGTGTGCCTCGTGATTTTTTTCATGAAAAAAGTGTGCCTTTGCACAAAAAAGGTTGAAAAACACTGGGTTAGAAAATGTTACTACTAACAGAGATACAAAAGTGGGCGGTAGGTATAAAAAGGTTGATTACCCCTGAGTTAGGAGATCAGCACATTCACATCTAAAAGTTTCCCCATCCTCCATTATCCTATTAATGTGCTAAGTGCATGTCTAAAATTGCTACAGGGACTCCTTGTAAACATCAGTTACAAGAAAATACGTTAAAAAAATGTAAAGGGTGCCAAAGTAATTGACAATTATAATTCAGAACAAAGACATTTTTCTAAAGGGATATTTATTGTATTCTCATTAAAAGTGAAGTACAATAGGAACCAATAGCTCTATTAAAAACCATTCAGAAGTGATTTTGACAGCCTGTCTGGAGCACTACTTTGGCAATCTATTGGTTAATTTCTACAGTTAATTAGTACAGTCATATTGAGATTTTTTTTCTTCAGCAATGAAAGAATGAATTCTGAGTACCACAAGAACGGATTGTTCATTAAGGGTGGCATTCTTGACATAAGCCTATCCCTGCTAGGCAGGTGTGGAATGTCACCACACACTGAGAAAAGGAGCAGGGCTTGTGCTACTGATATTACTCTGACTGTCCGGCTTAAGAGTAAATTTGCTGTTTAATCTATTTATGTATGAAGAAAATATTTCAGGCAATATTTCTTTACAATAAATGCTTGAAGTATATAGTTCAAAGCCAAAAGAAATTAGCAGGTGTTACAAGTGGACAACTACAAAGAGAAATTACAAGAAATATTAATACAGCCTTATATAAGGATGAGGAAATGTAATTTGCCTAGTTTTTTATGAGTTATATCAAAATTTACATGTTCTAGTGTCATGGCAAACCATATATCCAAATAAAACATAGCTTTCATAGCTTAGTGTGTTCCCAATATTCTTTTTTTTCTTAAAAGAAGAGGACAAAGCAAATATTATAGATATTTTTAACAAGCAGATAATTACGGATCTGTCCAAGGAATCTGTTCCTTCCTTTTCCCTCAGTATTCAGAAACTAATACATAGCAGAAAAAGAAACTGCTTGAGAAGTTTATAGAGGAGTCTGTTATATCGCAGTGGTTAGGGTGCAGTACTGCAGGCCACTTCAGCTGACTGCTATCTGCAGTTCAGCGGTTCTAATCTCACCGGCTCAAGGTTGACTCAGC